CTTTCTGGCTTATCTCACTAAGCATGATCCCCTCCAGCTCCATCCAAGTTGTTGCAAAAGACACGTGTTTCTTTTTTTGGTTGCTCAGTGTTATTCCATTGTATATATGTACCACATCTTTCTAATCCAGTCACCTACTTGACCAAACGATTTTTAACTGTTGGCAGATTATCAGAAACTACGTGAGGCAGTGCCTGAAGAAGAACAGAATCAGTGAGCAGGACCAGGAGTGAGTGTCCAGCCTGGGCAGCCTCGTGCTGGCCGGAAGCCGCTCACCCAGAGCTAGATCAGAAGCGTCTCCATCCGCGGGTATTAGCTTTAGGGTTTTATGTTATATCCCTTCCTGGACTGAAGAGTTTTACTCTGAGATTTGAGCCCCCCCCGTATGTATTAATTAGCAATGTAGGATTTTTTTTTTAACAAAAGCTGAAGTGTGAGGGTGAACGGCTGTGGGCAGGGACTGGGCACGTGGTGGTGGGTGGCTTTTAATCATGGAAATCGACATTCATTTATAAAGGCAATGGCTAATTTAGATGATCTGTTACATAAATTTAGACTTAACATTGCTAATTTTCTAGAGGTTGACATTGTAGCTCAGATCTCAGTATTCGTAAGAGTGGCAGCCACAGAAAATCCTCGATGGCTTACACGGGAAAAGGGCCTCTTTGTTTCAGGCGTTAAAACACCGGAGTGACAGGAGCTCCAGGCTCAGTGCCAGCCAGGCCAGGCCTCTTCTGCCGTCCTGTCCCGGGGGAGCGAGGGCGAGAGGACGAATGGCCAGCAGCTCTTCACCACGAGCTTTCGTTTGATCTGGGCTGAAAAGCCCTTTCTAGCCGTCTGCGCCCATGTCACTGGCCAGCATGACGTTGGCACGCCACCTTAGCTGCAAGGGAGCCCGGGAAGCCGCACAGCCACTTCCCGGCCATGTAGCAAAGCTCTGGGGGAGAAGTGTGAGGGCAGGTGCGAGGTCAGCTGCACGGGCAGACTCGGGCTCACGGGGCTTCGCGTCTCGGTGGTGTCGGCAGAGCGAGAGAGCGGGGGGCTGCCAGTAGTCGGGGCTCCTTCCCCAGCGAGAGGGGGGGCTGCCAGTAGTCGGGGCTCCTTCCCCAGCGAGAGGGGGGGCTGCCAGTAGTCGGGGCTCCTTCCCCAGCGAGAGGGGGGGCTGCCATTAGTCGGGGCTCCTT